AAATGAGAAACTGTCATCCCAGTCAATTGAATTGGGATGCCTCAGATTTAATGTGTCTCGTGAAAGGAGTGGCTTCCGGATAATATAACATCCCTGATCACAAAGGGAATAAAATTTCTCAAATAAAGTCCCCAAATTATCTTTGATTGAGTACATTGGAAGTCAAGCTTATATTTTTTGGATGGAAAATTTTGACTAGATGTGTTCAACAATACGCATGATACTAGAAAAACAAAGTATTGAAAATTGTAATGTCATTTGACAATTGCTTTGGAAACACTTTTAACAAAATCCATAAAAAAAAAAACTAAAGAACATATATCGCTAGCTTGTTGCCCATGCATAATCTATCTTTTTAGTTACTAAACTTTGAAGATAAATCTTGCCATAAATCATCATACTAATTACTAATCATATTTTAATAAGTTTATTAGTATTGTAAGCCCAAAGGGGTTTTGTCATCTAAGGCTGTGTTTAATCGACCGGATAAAAATCAGGATAGGATATGTTTTATCCTATCCTGTGTTTGGTGGTGGTCCAGGATAGGATAAGGTCGGATATAGACCGGATATAGCCCGGATAAAAAAATCCGAGGGGGATGGGATAGACCTGAATAAGATTTCTAATGTTTATTTTTCCAGAAACCCTACGCTCCACTCGCTGTCATCTTCATCCCCACACCTTGTGCGCTTTCATCAAAAAAATTTCTCGGCTTTTTTTCCTTCACCGACTCCTCCAGACCCGTGAATAGCAAAAAAAAATATATATATATCATATCCGACTTTAAATCCGTAGTCCACCAAACAGTGGATAGGATATGAAGAAATCCCAGAATTTCTTATCCTATCCTATCCAGTCCTATCATGTTTAGAAATCCGGACGACCAAACGTAGCCTAAGTGTATGTACTGTACACGTGGTACATATACCTATTTTACATTTGTAATCAATGACTTCTCTATCTACTGTGCAAAAGCAATCATGTGCGCAATAGAGCAGCTATGAGATTACTTTAGAGTGACTTTACCTACTGATGTTTACATACTTTAGAAGATTTTGAGCATTTTGTGTGTGACCAAACACACATTGACCATCTTCTAAAAGTTCATGCTAATTAATTTGTATCCTCCCTGCAAATTAGTAAATTATCTGCTAAAAGTTCATTCTTCCGCTTCGAGAGAGATAATGTGCGATTAATATTTCATTGGTCATGTGTACTTATTGTTTTGAGCGGCGGTTGGAAATTATGTATGATGAGAAAAGTTTAAGTTTTGATATTATTTATTACACTAGTAGCACGCCTATGCAATGTATGAATCTTTGTAATAAACTTAATGGTTATTTCAACTTTGTAGTTTTTTATATTAGTTTTTCTAAGAAATTATGTTTTTACTAAGGTCTTTTGTCTGTACGTTGCCGGTATAGCAACTAATTTACACACTCACATTTGGTTTGTAAGATTTTGATGGGACCACTGCCATCCGTTCTAAAAACTTAAGCCGTTAGATAAAGCGTGATTTAATATTTAATTACTCTAACACTCTCCCTCACGCTTAGTCTAGTTTTTTTTCTTAATACTAAGCGTAGACATATTTAATTGGGGAGGCAAATGGGGCCTGATAAGATTTGAACTTAGGATCTCTAGCTCTGATAACCACTGCCATCTGTTCTCAAAGCTTAAGCCGTTAGATAAGGTATGATTTAATATTTAATTACTCTAACATAATTTATTGATGCGTGGAAAAAGTTGATTATAAAACAAAGTCGAAGTACACATGTCAATCATCCAAAAGTAAATGTGGAACTTTTTTTTTTGTTATACTGTGGACCTAATAATGATTCTTTTATTGAATGATATTTGCATACTTTTATGTGATAAATTTGAGTTTTTTGACAAAGTAAAATTAAATGAATTGCTGAAATATAATCAGTTAATACCAAGGATCGTTAAATGAACTGTAATTAATACTGGATAAAAAAGCATCTCTTCGTTAGTTTTTCTTTTACTGTCTCGGGTTGAGCAATGGCTAGCTTGGATTTTATATTTTAAAAGAAAATACAATATTTTTTTAGAGTTATAACAATAACAATAACCATGAAATTTAAATAATTAAAGAATATATTACACTATTGTTTATAAAATGATATAAAACTATAGATTTGTTTGTCATTTATATAAATTCATTTTAGAGTTAATAGGCTGCGCATGACAACTTGCCAAACAGTGTTTGATTCTGTTCTTTTGTTCCCAGAATCAGTTTGGGAACAGAAATGCGTTTGTTTAATTTTTTGATTCTGGGCACAATTTTGTCAAAAATTGTTCCAATCGATTTTGAAACGAGAATCGAGAATAAAAAAAGTAGCTTCTGATTAAACAATTTTGAGAATCAATTTTTTTCTTCTTCCTTTTCTTGGTTTTTAATTTAGCTTCTAATGTCCAATAGGGGCCTCGCCGGATCGACGAGAATAAAATATTTTAATAAAAATATTATTAATAAAAAATATTTTACCGGCCATGGCGAATGACCAGGCCATGGCCATAAAAAAGAAAAAAAATATATTTTTAATAAAAATATTTTAATAAAAAATATTATTAATAAAAAAAATATTTTACCTGCCATGGCCGGTGACCAGGCCATGGCAAAAAAAGAAAAAATATATATTTTTAATAAAAATATTTTAATAAAAAATATTATTTATAAAAAAAATATTTTTAGGCCATGGCAAAAAAAAATAAAAATGTATATTTTTAATAAAAAAAATTATTAATAAAAAAAAAATTTACGGGTCATGGCCGGCGATCAGGCCATGGCCAAAAAAAATAAATATATATATTTTTAATAAAAATATTTTAATAAAAATATATTTTACCATCCATAGCCGGCGACCAGGCCATGGCAAAAAAAAATAAAAATATATATTTTTAATAAAAATATTTTAATAAAAAAATATTATTAATAAAAAAAATATTTTACCGGCCATGGCCGGCGACCAGGCCATGGCCCAAAAAAATAAAAATGTATATTTTTAATAAAAAATATTTTACCTGCCATGGCCGGCGACCAGGCCATGACCAAAAAAAATAAAAATGTATATTTTTAATAAAAATATTATTAATAAAAAAATATTTTACCGGCCATGGCCGGCAACCAGACCATGGCCAAAAAAAATAAAAATATATATTTTTAATAAAAAAATTTATTAATAAAAAAAATATTTTACCGGTCATGGCCGACGACCAGGCCATGGCAAAAAAAAAGAAAAAATACTTTTAATAAAAATATTATTAATAAAAAAATATTTTACCGGTCATGGCCGGCGAGCAGGCTATGGCCAAGGAGGAAAAGAAAAAAAGAAAAGAAAAAAAAGAAAGAAATATTAAAATATTTAAAAATATTATTAATAAAAAGAAATTTTGTGGCGTTACCAAACGCATTTCTGTTCTTTTTCTATTCCAGGGATGGAATTTTGGGCCGTTAACAAACGCCTTAAAATGCTCAGAATCAATTCCGGGTACAGAATCAAAAAGAATAATTTCTGAGCAAAATCTGTTCCCGGGCACAGAATCGTTGTCATGCGCAGCCTAAGCATCTTATATTTGCCGTCTCACTAAAACTGAATTTATCATGAACTTTTTTCTTATCAAGTTAAACACTTTTATCATTTTTAAGCAACTATCAATCTTTGGTTAAGTAAATCTAACTGTGACATTGCTTTTTACTACAGTTTATACTAGATTGAGTTGAGGTAATTTTACCTTCTATGTTATACATCGTTTATAGAGTATAATCTACTTTGCCATTGTCGATTTTTTATTTTTATCTATATCTTATACACTGTTTCGAATAATATTAGTTTATTCCGCTACAAATTATATTGCACGTGATAAAATTAATTTGTCTTATCGATTGATGTTTAAATAGTTTTTTTGTGTTTTTTTCTATGATATAATATATCATGCATAATAGATTCAAATTTACTTAAATATAAACATGAATATTTTATCATCTCATGGAGTTAATGTCAGTACTTCGTAGTTTAAATAGAATTAAATGTATATGGTATTTACAACTATGTTTATATCACGCAAATATTTTCTCCCGAAATTTTCTTCTAAAAGAAAAGACTTCTATATATCACATAACTGGCCTGCACAATCTATTCCACTTCACATAAAATATAACGGTTCAATTAAATACTTGTTCTTAGATTTTTTTATAAAATTTCCTTTAAATTTTACTTTTTTTGGGAAAAAATCTCAACAATTTATTTGAAAAGAGGATTTATTTTCATAAAATTAAATGCATTTATTGTCCAAAAGTCACTTTTACTAGAAGATACTAGATGTATCGAAGTTCAAGCACCTAAAAAAAAAAATGTAATCCATAGAAATGAAAAGTATCTCATGTAGGTGCCCTAATAACCATTCTTTTCATGAAATTCATATTTTAGCAATACCACACCCCACATATCCAAAAAATCATCTATATTAATGTCTTGATTTTGATTTTTTACTTCTCCCCCATATTCTACAATTTCTCGGCTTTCACATTTTAAGTTTCATTGATCATGAAACACTTAATAAAACCTATTTATAATATAAAAAAGCCGACACATATAAAGTCACGTCTATATATATATTTTTATATTTTAAATGATACTTTTAAATTTCGATCAATGCAAAAAAAAAAAAATTGTCCACGTGTCGGTTCCCCGTAAAACCGTGCTCTGACAGAAATGCCCCCTCCTTCTTTTCGGAAGGGCGGGAAAAGCCGTTTCGTTTGAATTTCGAAAGAACGGGATCGCAGCCCCCGCTTCCGAGGGGAAACCTGAAAAAGGCAAGAACCATCTTTTCCTCCGGCAGCAAATCCACGGCGCGAAGCGGTCGACGCCAGAAGCTCGGGCCTTCCTTCCCTTCGTCCGCCGATTCTTGCGCCGGCATGGGTTCGTAATTTCGTTCACCGCGGCGGCTTCTGTCTGCTCCGGGTTGGTCGCGGGGGAGGAGGGGGAGGAGGAGAGGGGGGGGGGGGGGAATGGAGGAGTTCCGTGGCATGAAGCGGAAGGAACTGCAGGCGCTGTGCAAGAAGCGCGGCGTGCCCGCGAACCTGACGAACCGCGAGATGGCGGATCGGCTGAGTTCGCTCTTCGAGGTGGGTGTCCAAGATCATCTTTTGTGAATTTCTCTTTTTGTTTTTCTATATTTTTGGATTCGAATTCGCTCCTCGATTGGGCCTGACTCTAGATGAATTTGTGGCGGGTCTCGTTAGAGTTCCGTGGTTTCGGTTGTCGTTGACTGAATTCGTTCATGGCAGTAGTTCCTTTTCCTGTTTATAATTTTGGGGTTAGAAATTAGAGATGAAAGTTTGATGAAAAGGGCGTGGGTCAATTCTTTATCTTTTGCCCTGCAGGAGAATAAGAAGTCTGTTGTCCAGGGGAAGTCTAACTCCGATGGTTCAGTCGAACGAACGATTGAAACTGGCGGTAAGGCGGGTGTGCGGCGGAATGTGAAGAAAGTGAGGTTCAGCCCTGTCGACGAGACTTTTGTGTTCGTCAGTTCACATGTGAAATGTACTTCAAGAGAGAAGCGAGCCACGGCGAGGGGGTCTGGGAATAAACGAAGTTTGGCTGTTGAAAAATCTCGCAGGAGGGTAGTTTCCGTAAGGACTGTACAGAGTCCGGTTAGGGCAACAAGGTCGAGGGCGCGAAAAGTAGTTGATAAGGATGTGCCGCAAGTTTTTTCGCCTGGCATTAGGAAGAAGAGCAGGAGAGGAGGCGTGAAGGTCGACATGAATGAGGTTCAGAGCGTCGATGTCGGGGATACGAGACCTGAATTGAGCGACAGCACTAATTGTGACAATCCTCGGGTCGAAGTTGCGGCCCCACTTCGATGGCACTTGAGAAGCAGGGGAGTAGGAGTTGAAAAAGACGGGAAAGTCGAGCACACAACCATAGAGAATACGAGGAAGAACGTAAGACCGACAGATTTTAAGAAGAGGAAAAGAAATGATACTGAAGGGCATTTGCATTCAGACGACAAACCTGAAGATGGTTCCCTAGCATTTGTGAGGGCACAACAAAGGAAGACTACTAGGCATTCAAAGCGCATAGAAAGACGGGAGACGGATTCAAAGTTGTCGATTGTGGAATCAGAGGCAGTCAAATCTGTAGGGAGAATAACGCGGTCCAGGGCTTCGAGAGTGGAGGGCGCTTCTACTGTAAAAGCAATTAATGAAATTGTGGAAGTTAAGGGAGAGATTGAAAAGGATGTCCAACTTGGACAACCACCAAAGATTATAGGCAGAAGGACACGAAAATCAACTGCAGAAGACAAAAATCCACCAAGTGAGAATGATGGTCCAGAGGGTCAAATTTCCGATATTTTCACGGCAAGGATTGTGGAGAAGAGGAAGACTAAAAGAATGAAGCACAATGCAGCGACAGGTTCAAAATCTCTACTTTTGGGAAATGAATTAGTGAATGCCGAAATTGCTGGTAGCAAATTGTGTTTTCAAAAGGTGTCCGGCCTTGATGCTTCCGCCATTGAAGCTGAAAGTAGGAAATCTGAAGTTCTAGAGGAACATGAAGAGGTTGATTGCCTCAGACACATATCAAATGGTTCTGGCAAAAGTGTTTCTAGGGGAAAGCATTGTCCTGCTCATAAGGACAAAGAGCGAAATGGACTTGTTCTCGAGAACAAGACAAGAAAGCGAACCAAAGACACGCGTCAAAAATTAGGGGCTTCAGAGTTTGGGGTTGCTGTTGATCCTGTCAATGACCTTCCCCTTAGAAGATCCAGAAGGAAAGCTATTCCATCTGCCGTCCTTACTGATAAAGAGTTCATTGCTCATTCAACTGACAGGAAGAATGTGCGATCGAGCCCATATAATCGCGCATCAGAAGTAGAAACTTCTGCAAAAGAGAAGTCACTGAAGACATTGATGACTAATGCCCTTGTACACAATTCAAGGGTGTCCTCAGATGCACCTGCTAAGCAAAAGGGGGGAAAATCCCCGAACGGAGAAATGGAATATTCTGGACCTTCAACTGAAGAACCCAGGACCAGCAGGCAGTCTAAAAGAGGTACTTATAAATCTGAACATGGTGCATCCATGAATAGTATTGTTAAAGCTGATGCCAAGAGGCAAAAAGGTAGTGCAACAATCACAGAAGAGGTAGGTGCAAGAGCTAAAAGTGCTGAGATGATGGATGAGACTTTGAATATTTATGTCTACTTGGATGTGCCGGCAGTTCTGGAACATGAAGATGGGTTGGAAAAGAATGGCAAAACAGATAAAGCTGAGTGCTCCAAGAACAAGGGATCAGATGGCAAGGCTGGAGACATAACAGGAATTAATAGTTTTGATTTTTATGGAGTAAATATTCATCTAAGAAATGACCTTACAGCACAGTCGGGTAATGCTCTGGTGTCAGCAGCTGAGAAGTCACAAGAGGTTGATGTGAAGTGGGGTCTAGAGGAACTCCCAAGTGATTCTGTCGTTATAAATGAGAAGCCAAGAGTTCTAATTGAGGATGACAGAGGGAAAGTCCAGGATTCTGTCAATCGGTCATGTCAAGCTTTGGGCAGAGCAGAAGACAGCATTCCTGAACAAGTACCTTCGAGAGCTCAAATTGAGGATATGGACGCTGTCTCCCACGTAGATGCATCTCTCACACTGAACTTAGATAGCGTGGGTAAGCGTGTTGTTCCCATTTGGTTTTGGAGAAACATACCACGTGTTTCTGTAGATAGCTTATTGACTTCCCAGTTTTGCAGATGAACCTTCTGATGCTCCCTTATGCTTGGAGAATAAACCAGAAACAGAGCACGTATATATTGGAGAACATGCTTATTCAAGAAGTGTTGAGGTAAACAATTACACACCTGTGGATGATTGACAGTGGTCCTTTTTTAGGGAGTTGGCAATGGCCAACTTGCCTAGAAAACATAAGCGAGGTTTTTCTTTGCTTGATCAGGAATTAATCCTCAATGATCATATGGATGAGTGTGAGCAAAGAGGGATCGCAGAGAGAGTTCCTGTAGAAGCTGATGAGCACGCTCATCAAATTGCTCTTCTTGATCCCAGCTCTAACGAGGAACAGAATCAAGCGTATGAGGCCCATGAAGTACATGTAACAAACTTAGGACTACAAGTTGGTACTTTCAGAACTGCTATAGAAGATGTGGTGGCCATTCAGTTGCACAACAGCTGCTCTAGTGCGCCAACAGGAACTCCAGAAACACTTGCATTAGGAAGTGGAGGTGCATTGAGTGTCTTAAGTTTTGCATCTTCTTTTTTTATTCCTTAGTCTACTCTATCACTAACTCTGATAAGAGTACTTGCACTTTACATACTTTGCCATTACTGGAAGCTACAGTCTCTGCTTTGCTATTGTTTCATTGTGCAGAGGCCAATCAAATAAAAACTAAAAGTGCGGTTATCTCATCACTTCAAAGCAATGGTCATTCTGGAGGAGACCGATATCCTAGCAGTGAGACTGAATTTTCAAGTGAAAGAGCACAACCGGAGCAGACAGTAATTGATGCAGAGGATGGCTTATGCACTCCCGAAAAAACCACAGAAGAACCAGGGAGAAAGCAAAGGGAAAGCCAAGAGCCACTGGAAAGTGTGGAAGCAGCAGTGGCGGCTTGTGATGTGACTATAGACGAGGTCGCTGAAGAAAAGCAATCTGCTGATGGGAGTTTCTCACTTTTAAACCCCACAGATGCCAAAATTACCAGAGAAAAAGTATATGAAGTTGATGAAGGAAGCTTTGATTTTGCTTCTGAGAAGCCTCTGGGAACTCGAGAGACTTCTGGAAAAGATCTCAGTATGATCCCGCTAGATGGATGTAACAGTAAGTTAAAAATGCATTTTCTTGGTGATGTCTTTTTCGGCGAGATTGCAGGCAACAAAGTCTTTACTTTGCTGCTACTGCTTCCATTTAGCTTTTGTTTGAACCTGAGCTGAGTTCTTAGTAATGAACTTTCCTTCCAGCTCCTGTTGCTAAGAAATGTTTCCTCTCTTACGAGCACCCTCTTCAAAAGGACTCAGAAAAGCAAGGACAAGGTAGGTTTTCTCTGCAATCTTCCTTTTCCTGGGTCTTCTTCCAGCACAAAGATATGTATGATGTATCAATTCACTACAGACTAACATAATCCTACTTCTGGGGACATTCTTTTTACTTCTGTTGCAATTGTCAAATGCTGAATTAGTTATATAGAGTGCAAAATGGAATTGTTGATTTGTTGACAAAGATTTCAGGTTTTTAGCTAATCTTTCCCTTGGCTTGATTTTGTAGATGTTAAAGGGCAATGTCCATTGCTTGAAGAATGTTTCTGTACCTTTGGGGAGGAAATTTCCAACAAACCAGCTTTCAAAAGTGAAAGTGACCTCAGCAGTATGGAGGTTGGAATGGATTATCAAGAGAAAATTGAAGAGGACCCCGCAACAGACGAGGACAATGTAGTTCATTTTGGAACAGCATTAACAAATGCATGTGATAATGATTTGACAAACAAGCTGCAAGTGGATTGTACAGATACATGTTGTCCAGATGAGCTGGGCTCTGATACTGATGAGCATAAAGAAAAGAGTCCGGTGATGCAAAGCTTTGAATCTGTTTTTGATGAAACTGGCAAATCATGCATGGAAACAATTAATGCCCAAGCAGTTGGCTTGGTTACTTCAGTGGAGGGGATCATTGCCGAAGACAAAGGAATCTCCAGTGAAACGGTTGCTTTGCATTGTAAGGAACAGAATATGTCATGGTTTTGTTACAATCTTTTCTCTAGATAGCCCTGCTTTCTTCTTCTTCACTTTTACTGATGTATTCACTTATTGCAGCTCCCAATACTTCTGAACATGAAATGTCATCCTGCATGAATGATGTCTCAAAGGATAATGATGGATATGAAGGTGAATTCAATATTCTTTACCCATATTCAAGAACTATGTGAGAGCTTTAACTGCAGTTCTAATTCATGGAACCAACTTGTTCCCCAAAATGCTAACAATTCTCATTATATTTGAGAATCATGCTGTAGGAGATGCTTTAGTTGCTGATCTTTTATTGTTCAATGTGCAGCTGGGGGAAACCTTGAAGATGAAATTTTTTCACCAGTAATTGATGGAAATTCTCTAGGACAAGATAATGGATTTGTGGTCCCCAACTATTCAAGTCAGTGTCTTCTAGATGCCAATTCAGAAGAAAACAGATTTCAGGTGGAAGAAAAGAGCTTTTTTAACTCTTGCGATGTGAACAATATTGTGAGGCCGGTAGTTGAAACAGAGGCATTGATTGAATCAGTTCTGGAAGTCATTTCAAGCAGAAAGGATCAGGTCTTAGACATGAAAGAAGTCATGAATGAAAGTTCCAGTCAACAAGTTTTTGGAAATTTGAGTGCTGAAAAGGGAGCAGAGATCGATACTGTTACTAGTAGGGTTGCCTGTGAAAGTTTCCCACTGGATGAATCAAACGCACTGAGAAGTTGTCATATGAAAGCACATGGTGAAATTAAAGGTGTTCTCAACATAGCCTGTAATACAGAGGCCGTTACCTTTCGTGAATGCTTGAAAGAACAGAATGTTGAACAGTGCGATCGCTTTGTTGAAGAGGGAGATTCGCACTTTAGCCCAGACCAACTAGCTGACAAGGATGATATTGAGGAGGCGGTTGCACAACTAAATTGCGGCCCTGAAGGAATGGTTGCTTTGGGAAAAAGCAGTGTTGATATTACACAATGTTCTAATTCTGAATTTGCACATTTTGAGTCCCTGGAGAAGAAAGGAGCTGTGATTTCTCTTTCTTTGAGCTCGGATGGCCATAAGCAGGAGGAATTGGATGATGGCGGTCAGCAGGAGGAGATTGGGAATAAAGTGGACAAGAGGGAGTTGACTGCATCATCTAATCTAAACTTTTCAGACAATCAATCTGCAAACCATTCTGAAAACCTTGAAATGACAGAAGCACTTGACGAAGGAAAGTTTGATCTTATTGAAGTAGGCAATTGTCATTTGCCACGTGCTGGTGGAGAGGATTTGAACGTGCAAAAAGAAGCTGTAAATTTCCATCAACATTGCAAAGGGAGCATCTGCGAAGTTTATGAAGTTGGAGAGGAAGCTTCTTCTGCAACTGTGACCATCAAGGCGGTGGATATGATTAACAAGGAAGAAGATGGAAGTGCAACATCAGTTTTTCTCCAAGATCGGGTTCAATTTCATGGAGATGAGTCTACAAAGATCGATCTTGACACTCCAATCATTCCAGGAGTGGCTGCTGAAGATCCTAAGTGTAATTTCAATGAAGTCATGAGAACTATGCTACACTCTGATGAGCAGAAGATTGATCCTTGTGATGATCAAAGAGGAAAAAGTTTACGGCCAGACCAAATGGTGCCCTCAGAACCTATATCTGCAGATGTCGGCATATATGTTGGAACTACAGAAAGTGGACTCATCCTGAAGGATATCAAGACAGATACTGTCCAATTTGATGATGATAAATTGTTAGAGGAAACTCATTTGGATGAGGTCAGCAGTTGCATGATAGAAGCTGCTCCTAATGCCGATACTCACGTTGAGATAGTAAATACTTCTCATGAAGATATCATACATACGGAAGATGAACCTAGTGCATTGATCATGCAAGAAAATCCAGCGACTTTTAATCTTGAGGATGGCTCTATGCCAGCTGGGGAAACGACAATGTCTCTGCATGGCATGAGTATTGGCTATGGATGGGATAAGACGAATTCTGTACGTGAGCGTTTGGTCGTACATACATGTGATGAGCCAAATAAGGCTTCAGATTCTTATGCTGCACCTCCTCTGAATGTTGTGTCATTTCCTGGTGAGGATCCTTGCTAGGGAAGTCTGACTTTTGAATTCTTGCCGAGTGCTAAAGTAGTAGAGCTTCTAGCTGTGAGGAAGACATGTTGAGGTTTATTCATTCTGCTTTAATGATATTATGCACATCTTGTTTTAAAATGCAGGGGAGGAATACCCATCTAAAGCAAACAATGTGGACATCGGAACTAATGCCAAAGAGAAGAGCGATGGGGACAAAGGTTAGTGTAGCTTTGCCATGAATGTAAAGCCAGTGTTCAATCATGATACTTTTAGAGGAAATCTTACTGACATGCATTTCCTCTCGAAGAGGAAGTCATAGTGCAGGAAGCTCATGAGCCTCAAGAGGACCATGCTGTTGTCGGAAATGCCAGAGACTTTAACCATAGCTCAAAGGCTTGCAGAGAAGTTGCTAAGGAGTGTGCCAGAGACAATGAAGTTGCTTCTGTGCAAACTGATCTTGTTCTGTGTGAATCTTCTCATGCCAAATACGAAAGGATTGTCGAAGACAATGAAGAATCACATGGTTCTGGAAGGCTTGATGAGCCTGCCACTGAATCCAGGCAACTTTCTGCAAATGCTGACTCTAGCAGTGACTTCTCTCTGATTTCATCAATAGGAGATCCAGCAATTCTTGGTGAGTACTTATTCACTTCTTCATTCCATAATGTAAGTAGACTCTTATTTCATATGTTGGCGATGCTAGAGAAGCTGTTTGTTTCCTAATGCAGAAAATAAGTTGTTGGAGAGTCAAGTGGAGTCGCAGACATTTACTAGTTGGGAAATGAGCTTTGTCTTCGGAGACAACTCAGTAGACAGTGTAAGAAAATTGGATGCAGAGGCTGAGGAAGAGGGAGATGGAAATGGAAAAAACGCTGACACTGTAGAAGCAAGGATTGCCAAGTTGGAAGAAAATGCTCCAGTAGTTGCTTTAGAAGATTCGGAAGATCATGTGGATCATTCTGATGCTCAAATTACTACGTTAAATGAGACTTTCTTGAAGATCGAAGAAAACGGGGAAGATATCATCAGAGTCACTGATGATGAGTATTCTAACGACGGGGCCCCATTTGAATATTCCCGTGATTTGGCACATGAAAAGAAAGATGTGACAGAGGACCACTGCAGTAACTGCCCGGCCACAGATGAGATTACTATTAAGAGTGACAAAGAGTCAACGGAGCAAGAAGTCTCTGCCATGATTCAAGAGTATATGGATCGTGAGAAGTTGGAGGATGGGAGTCTTGAGGTTAGGGCTTCCTGTGTTGATAGCAGAGAGAAAGAACTTGCTCATGTTAATGCAAGTGATTGTGCCCCATCAGATGTATTCCCAATAGTACATGATCCCAGTGACATAAGAAAGGAGCATTTGACATTTTCAAGCTATGCCAATGAAAATGTTGAATTAGGAACCAAACAGGAGAAAGAGACAATTATTCCGAATTCAGCCAACTATACTCCGGCATCTGTCAATTTGTCTGCAAAATTAGGTATCAAGAATTCGGTTATCAACAGTGATAGCTTCTTGTAACTTAATTTTGTGTATACAGAGTTAGTAATTCTTTTCATGTACATATCTCTGCAGATGTAGCTGAAAATGTCAGAATGCAGCAGCTGAACCTGATATCGCCTATGACCAAGAGTTTGGACGTAAAAATGGAGGAACCAGGGAAGCTTATCAATTCCTCAATGGTGGGAAGGACAAAAGCCAGGAGCAATTTCATCGAGAAAACTCCGAAGAAGTTGCTTGCAGTTTCAGATATGAAAGAGAACATGCCGAGCACGAAGTGGGAGCAAGTTGGTAGCGTCACAGCTTCTAAAACAACAAAAACCAGGAGGGTCTTGGAGGATCTACAGAGGAAACAGTTATAGTAATTCTGTAGTCAGGTCTTCTACTTTTCTGGGAAAGCACTTGGCATAACTCATGCTAGTGCTCATGAAACAGGATGTACCATTGAATTGAAACTAACTTATTCTCATTGTGTGTATTTGATTCTGAAGCTTTCTAATGGCAAAACAGCCAATTGTTTGTACAATGCAAATTTGGGTCACAGTACTAATCAACTGAATTCTCGGTTTGATTCAGAGAATGGAGTTGCATAATTGCGATGCAAGAAATGAGTAATGTGGGTGAGTGGTCGGAGAGTGCATGTTGCTTGGTTGTAAATAGTTTGAATAGTCTTCAGATTGCCTATTTTTAAGGTGTTCAAGGTCAAAGTCTTTTCCCAACCAAAAGCATTGAGAATCAAACCTAAAGGAGTGGACTTTTGCAGTTTGGCTACCGTAAGAAAATGATGGTAATAAACGGTATCTATTAAAGGGTTGATCTTTAAGACAAATCAATCTCCCTTTTCATTTTTCAGAGAGAATCCATCGCTCCAAGCATGCGAGCCATTTCAGCAAGAACGAAACGCATGGCAGCGTTTCCACCTTCGCGCCTCGGCCATTCGACGCCTACAGCTTCGCACGGCCCGACGTGCCCATCGTCCTCGTCGTCGCTTCTCGACGATTTCGCCGAGCGCTGCCATCAGAGAGACCTTCCCAGAGCCATGAAGGCTATGCACGCCATGCAGAGACACGGCATTTGGGCCGACGCCATCACCTACTCCGAGCTCGTCAAGTGCTGCGTGGCCAGGGGTGCCGTCGAAGAAGGTAAATCGGTCCGCAAGCACGTTTTCTCTGGTGGGTATCAGCCCAAGACCTTCTTACTCAACGTCCTTCTCAACATGTACGTCAGGTTCAACCTCTTGGAAGATGCGGAGGACCTGTTCGACGAAATGCCCGAGAGAAACGTCGTTTCCTGGACGACGCTGATATCGGCTTACGCGAATAAGGGCATGAATGATAGGGCCTTGGAGTTTCTTATCTTGATGCTGAGGGAAGGTGTCCAGCCTAATATGTACACTTATTCGTCGGTTTTGAGGGCCTGCGCGGACTTGGGGATGCTTAGACAACTTCACAGTGGCATAATGAAGGTTGGCATGGAGTCTGATGTCTTTGTGCGTAGTGCTTTGATTGATAATTACTCGAAATGGGGTGAGCTGCAAGATGCCTTGGACGTGTTCAACGAAATGGTGACAAAGGATTTGGGTGTCTGGAATTCTATTATTGGGGGTTTTGCGCAAAATAGCAATGGTGACAAAGCTCTCGATATGTATAAATGCATGAAGAGAGCGGGTTTCGCACCTGATCAGGCGACTTTAACTAGTGTTTTGAGAGCGTCTACTGCCTTAGCATTGTTAGAAGTGGGGAGACAAGTGCATGTTCATGTACTAAAGTTTGATCGAGATCTTATCCTCAATAATGCACTTCTTGATATGTATTGTAAATGTGGCGGTTTGGAGGGTGCAAACTCTGTCTTTAGTAGAATGGTGGAAAGGGATGTTATATCCTGGAGTACCATGATTGCTGGATTGGCCCAAAATGGTTGCAGTCTAGAGGCGATGGGGCTGTTTGAACAAATGAAACATTCTGGTACGAAACCAAACTATATTACCATTGTAGGTGTTCTCTTTGCGTGCAGCCATGCCGGGCTTGTTGAAGATGGCTTGCACCACTTCCAGTCAATGAAAAAGAGTTTTGGAATTGATCCTGGTAGAGAGCACTATGGTTGCATGGTTGATCTTCTAGGAAGGGCAGGGAAGCTGGATGAAGCTGTTAAGTTGATTAATGAAATGGAATGTGAACCGGATGCTGTTACTTGGAGAACCTTACTTAGTGCTTGCAGAGTTCATCGGAATTCGGATCTGGCCATATATGCTGCTAAACAGGTAGTAAAACTGGATCCGGATGATGCGGGTACCTACATACTCTTGTCAAATATTTATGCGAATAACCAGAGGTGGGAAGAGGTCACAGAGGTTAGAAGGTCCATGCGAGTAAGAGGAATCACAAAAGAGCCAGGATGCAGCTGGATTGAAGTAAATAAGAAGATACATGCTTTCATCTTAGGGGATGACTCACATCCACATATAGATGAGATCAATAAACATTTAAACCAGATTATCGAAAGGTTAATGTCGATTGGCTATGTCCCAGACACAAATTTTGTTTTGCAGGACCTTGAAGATGAACAGAGGGAGGCTTCACTTCGATATCACAGTGAAAAGTTCGCGATTGCATATGGAATCATGAGCTTACCGAGAGAGAAGACAATAATGATCAGAAAAAACCTAAGGATTTGTGGAGACTGTCATACTTTCACAAAACTTCTGGCCAAGATGGAGCAGAGGATTATTGTGATAAGAGATCCTGTCCGTTATCATCATTTTAGGGATGGAGCTTGCTCTTGTGGTGATTTTTGGTGACAGAAGATTTCAAAAAAGTATCAAAAGCTTCTGTTTGCTGAACACAAAATGGGAGCTTCTGCTGGGTCGATATCAAAGCTGGTGGTAGCAATTGGTTTCATGATCTTCATTGAGTCCTTGTCCCTGAAGCTAGCCCTTAAGATGACAGGACCATCCCATCTGATTGCTGAACATACGTTTCTATCTTTCATTTTACACCATGGGCGAGATTGTTCAGAAGGTTTTCCTGCCTAATTATTAGTTGGCGAACCTGCTGTTCATTTCACTTTGTATGCTGTGTTGATGGCCATTGTCATACTAAGAATAAATTGAAGCAAATCTACTTATAGATCCTTTTAAAGTTAGAAAAGGTTAAATCTAGAAACAAGACAGGAGAGAATTCCCCAACTCCCTCTGGTTTCATCAATCAGAGATCCATCGATTCATGGTTAGTACTTATTTACATCTTCATTTCATAATGTAAACTCTTAATTCATACATTCTCTTTGTTGATGATATTGGACTAGTGTTTTGTTTCACAACGCAGAAAACAAGTCTTTGGAGAGTCAAGTGGAGTCGCAGGCATATTTACTAGTTGGGAAATGAGCTCTGTCTTTGCTGACAACTCAGAAAGTGAAGGTTGGATGCAGACACCAAGGAAGCGAGCCTTAGTAATTGAAATGTAAAAATGCCGACAGTGTAAATGTAAGGAGCACAAAGCTGGAAGAAAATGCTCCGGTAGTTGCTGTAGAAGATTTGAAAGATCACGAGGATCATCCTGTAGAGCAAACTGCTGAATTCGAGGATGTTCAAATTATTTTTTTAAGCAAGTCTATATTGAACACCAAAGGAGACAGGGGAGCTTTCCTCGGATTCACCGACAATGAGCATCCTGAGGACATGCCTACGTCAGAATACTCCAATGCTGTGGAACATGAAGGGATAGATGCACCAGACGACCATTGCATTGACTACCCAACTAATGAGCTTACAATCAAGAACGAGAAAGAGTCAATGGAGCAGGAAGTCTGTGCCATGATTGCAGAATATGCAGATCGCGAGAAGTTGGAAGATGGGAGTGCCCGAGGTTAAGTGTTCATGCCTTGATACAAGTGAGAACGAACTTGCTGAAGTTTGTGCAAGTGATAGCGCTCCTTTGGATGTATTAGGAATTGAAATAATTTCAATGTCTTTCCGAGTTCTCTAGGTGATGGCAATGAAAATATTGAATTAGGAATTGAACTGGAGAAAGAGACATGCATTCATGTTAAAATTTTGCGAGACCACTTTAAAAGTTTAAGCTTTTAATTAAATGCGTGGTTTAATATTTTAATACTTTAACACTCCCTCTCGTGTGTAGGCTAGATTTTAACCTAAGATTAAAGTGCGGAAATATGTCATAGGGTTTGGGCCCGAAAAAATATGAACTTCAGTTTTGATATCATAGGAAAATTTTACAAGACTATACTCAATTGTTAAAATTTTAGATGAATGCGTAGTTTAATATTTAAATATAATTTCAAATTCAGTGACCAACTATATTCTGACCCCTATCAATTTGTTTGCAAGAATTGGTATCAAGAGTTCAGTTTTCAATTGCGATAGCTTCTCGTAACTTAAGCTTATGTCTACAAAGATTAGCAATTCCTTGTCATGTATATTCTTTTGCAGATATTGCGGCTGAAAATGCCGGAATGCCGCCGGCAAAGCTGGAATCGCCTCCAACCAAGAGTTTCGATGTAAAATCGGAGGAAATTGAGCATCGTGGAGGGTTGTTAATTGCTTGACAACCGGAAGGACAAAAGGGAGGAGCAATTTCATCGAAAGAACACTGAAGGAGCTGGTTGTGACTTCAGATGGGAAAAGACAATATGCCTAACATGGGACCAAGTTGGTAGCATCCCGGCTTCTAAAACAATGAAAAAACAAAAGGGCCATTGGAGGATCTACCGAGGAAACAGATTTAGGAATTTTGGTTACAATTTCTCTTTATTAGTAGATTGATTTAGTACCTTCTTGGAAAAGGACTCGGCATATCTCATCCTCATGAAACAGGATTGTACTTTTGAAACCAACTCATTACGGTATGTATTTCCATTTCCTTGAGTCAATCTGCACCTGTAAGATGAACGCTTATTGCGAAAACAGCCATTTATGTGTACCATGCTAATTCTGAGTCATGGTACAAAATGATTGAATTCGCTCGATGGAGTTTTAATCAGGCTGCACATCCTAAAAGTGAGCTTATGTTGAATTCTTGGCACGACAACCTTCGTTAAAGTAAAACAGCGTGAGCTTCAATTGTTGTTATCTTTGTTTTTGCGCGAAGATATGAATGCAAGAACACAGAATACAGAACCCAAATCAATCTAAACTGTAAAAATGGGGGAAAATCATCATAACTTAACTAACAAAGTTAATCCCCCGACCACACCGAACAGTGCATGTGATTCTCTTTCTGAAAATAGATTTGACTTCCGCATGCAAATTTTAATGAGAAGTGCTATAATCACTTTCATCTCCATGTCCAAGTCAATCTACCCAGCAAGTGTACCATATTCACATGGACATGGTGCCTAACAAGTTGAAGTGCTGATATAAACCAAATGCAGCAGCTCGCATATGCAGCAAGAATATTTCCAGAAACATCTCGCTTGTCCCATTGGAGTATGAAAACAGTGGAAAATGCGGAAATGGTATGATTCAGCGGCCGCTGCTAGCATTGACAAAAGATAGATCATCACTTGAGGAGTATAGACAGTTAACACGGTAGACCTTACTGAGAAAAGTGCTACATTTCTAGAGTAGCACGATAAGCTTTACTTTTCAGGAGTTACATACAAACTATCTTGTTTCATTCACCCTCATTGGAACTCACTAAACACACTGAAACAATCAGGAGGAATTTTCACAACTCAAAGTCCACATCTGCCAAAATTCATACTTTTCCTTTCTTCTTTTTCAAATCTTTTTTTTTTTTTGTACATACACCCTTCAAGGAGCCTTCTCATTGATGAATCCCACTGCAAATCGCAAAAGGGTGCCCTCCTCTTCGAGCCTTTAACCACCGAACACAATCAACTGTAAACTACAGTAACAAAATTTCTACAGGTAAATTTTTCGTGACTGAAACATTCTAGCTCACCTAATCCTAGTTGCAATCCAATCCACACACCTCTAGTAAAATGCCGTCCTTGGAAACAAAAGGGTTTATTCGGACCCACAAAAGAGTTAAAATCGAGGCGAGAAGAATTGCCCAAACAATTATGATTGTAGGTACCCGATCTTGTTTTCCCATGAATCCTTTGAGGAAGGGATACAGATGAACAATGACCCACAAAGCAAAGAATAGTTTACCAAACAGTGGACCCCAAGATTCGTAGCCATTATTGATGGCATCTGAAACGCCGACAATGACGCCAATTATGTTTAGGATGAGCAGGGTCAAGGGAGGGATTAACAACGATGTCCACTTAAACAGGTATAGCTCAGAGAACTCTCCGTCGTCTCCACCTTTGGACGTGACCGTGAAGTTTGTGTTGACGCCGGCCAAAACTTTTAGTAGACCCTGGAAGAGAGCAAACAAGTGAGATGAGACCCCACCAATTACCCAGAACTGCTCGTTTCTCCACCAGTCGTGGATGCCGACACCACCCCACTGCATCTCGAGGATGCCTGTAGCCGCAATAGATATAAAGAGTGCCATGAAAATGAGACTAGCATAGTTGCTTATCTGCAACATTGTTGAAAAGGTATTGTCAGCCATGGTCTTGTTGCAATCAAACAAAATCAATTGCTCGAGCAAGCACAGAACTCCTGGAAGTGTGGTGGAACTTACCTCAGGGACAATAAACTTTCCTGTTAGAAGACAAACAGCTGGAAGAGTACAATATGCGATCAAGGGAATGGAAGTCAAAGGATAGACGACCGAGTTGATGTAAGAAAACCGCTCTAGCCATTTTAAGCCACAGCCATATCCGTACCATATCGGACAATGCCTGCTCAAGAGGATCTCAACCGATCCAAGAGCCCAACGGAGAACCTGATGCAGGCGATCTGAGAGGTTTATTGGAGCTGAACCCTTGAAAGCGGGTCGCTTAGGCATGCAGTATACAGATCGCCAGCCATGACAGTGCATCTTGAAGCCCGTTAAGATATCCTCTGTAACAGAACCATATATCCAGCCCACCTAAGGGATAGTTACAAGTAGACAGTAAGCGCAATGCAAACCTAGATATTCTCGATACAGTATCAAAAGCAGAGACTTAAGCTGAAATTGTAAGATCTTTACCTCTTTTCCCCATTCTGTTTTGTCCTCATAACCACAGCTAATGACATGAATGGCTTCTTTCAAAAGTGTTGCAGTAGTGGCTCCCTTTGGGACGCCACCTTCTTCCATCAGGGTTGTAGCTATAAAAACTGGGGATTGACCGAATTTCTTCTCGAACTTTACTCGGGACATTAGTGATGATTTTTCATTGTCTATACCTGAAACAGAGTCCCGAAAAGTATGTATCATTTTGCATCTATCCATTTCTATTCTGAGAAAGATGCTCTCTCAATCAGAAATTCAGAGAGAAAATAAGAAGCAAGCGCCATAAGACTACTATGTGAAATCACAATGGTACAAATGAAAGCAGCGTAAAAAATGAAGAATTCAGATAAAGCAGATATTTGGGATATCAACTACTTCATACAAGTGGAGCAACATGCAAGTCCAAAGATTCATTTAGATAGAAAATTGGCACCTTCAATTCCCTCTTCAATATTTTCCAGTGCATGAATCTGCCTTGAAGCCTCCCTGTTCCTCACTGTCTTATTTTGCTCGTAAGACTTCATTTTCCTAACCCTTTTTCTAGATCCACAACACAAGCAGCACCATTTTGGCCAACAGTTACACGTTTTCCTAGGAGGTTTCTTTTTTATTGGGGCATCATACCCATACAAAGCCTGCCTCCGGAAGACACAACCAGTTCCGACATAAATTGGTCCTTGTATACCATCCAAACCCTTCATATTTATCTGGATTAAACAGTATAGACATCAGTATATATGAATGATTTCCTTTTTTCCCAAAAAAAGGAAAGGAAGAACATTATGATATTGATGAGGCCTATTTTTATGTTTACTTACGTCAAAAAATACTACATTACGATTTGAGTATCTATCATGACGATCTATCCCGTCAAATCTCTGTGGAAATTGCACGTAACATATCTTCTTGCCCGAAATTGGATCCATCATGAAGCACATGGCTTCTCGAAGAGCCTTGCTGTTGTTTATATAGTGATCACAATCCACATTCAGCAAATAAGGGGCATTTGTGATGACTGCTGAGACCCGCACCTTGATTAACGACTCAAAAATAGTAGATAATTCAGCAAATTGAGATAGATGATATAAACTTTTGAGAAGTATGACCAAACTTTGAAAGGTCCTTAGGGGAGA